TGCATCATTTACACTATGCATATAAATATTTAAAAAAAAAAAAAAAAGGTCACTTTATATGTTAACATTTCTGGTTTCAAAAATACATTTCTTTTCTAAATCCAATTCCAGTCCTTGCCTGATATCTGATTCTGATATTCGATTCACAGTTTTTCGCTGCTATCGAGCTTCAGTGCCATCTCTAATAAAAACAGCTACTGGAGCATACAGAAAGCATAAAAAGGATACATTAACTGACTTAACGAACACGACAGACCTGGGAATAAAATGCCCTCGAGCAAGACTAAGCTCAAAATAAAGGAAATGTTCAGGCTGAAGATGGATAACCGGTATATAAGTGTCAGGTTCTTGTTTACACTGTATGGCTGTATTAATTCAGAGGTGAACACCGTATCATTTCCTCCTGAGCCGGGTGCCGAAGATCTGAGATAAGCAGCCGGTGCCTAAGCACAAGTTTCTAAGCACAACAAAGCGCGTGCTTAGATTCTGCCGCTGTGATATCAGAGATCACGCCATCTTTAATTCAGGTTTTGTCCTTGGACATTTGTCATCGAATAAGCAACTCTGTCTTACTTTTTATTCTTGGAAACGAGGTTTTCTTACTGCAGGCTGGCAGAGGCAGTAAATCAGCATGCAGAGAAAATCTTTTGATGAATCCTGCTGAAATATGGCTTTGGGAACAATATTAGAAAATGGGTAAAAACACTGAATCATTAATCAGTCTGCTTACTGAAACCTAAGGGGTTTTACATCACTCACACGTCCGTCGGAATTCTCCATCGCAGCCCCTCACTTGTGCCGTAATAAATTTATCCCTACTAGGCCTAGTCAGTCTATACACAAAGCTCTGCCATGTGGAATAACCTTCATAATTGAGCATTATTTAACTACCCAGCTGTATGTTAAATCATGTATGTCTGGCGTCTGATTAAACAAATGCTACTCAATATTACTCTCCTTTGAATACCTGAGTAACTGGACTTCACTGCTATGCTTAAGAAAGTATTCTGACGTATTTATACTGTACCTAAGTATTACTGACACTGAATACTTGTACTCTTACTTAATTACTCCTTACATTTTTATTTAGATCTTCAAAGCACTCGTTTAAAAAACTCGACAGTTTCTTCTTCTCTCAACCAGCCAGTGACCTGGATGCTATTACATCAATCCAATGAGCTCAGTTCAGCAGCCAATCAAATTCATCTGCATAAATAACTGTAAGGAATCGTGCCAATTTGTCATCTGCGGTCATCTTCGCATGCCACTTCATGTATCTGTGTGCATCTGAAGGTAGATAATCCTCTAGACTGCAGTGTGGAACTTGAGGATGAGCGCCCCTGGCCCTACCTCAGTAAAATGTTTCAGTATGCTGGAGTAAAGACTCCAGCAAATACTCATAAAATAAGGCGTCTCCTTTGCCTCCATCTAATCTGCCTCCATATAATCTGCTAATCTGCCAAGTTAGCTTGTTACTTTGCTAATGCCAAGTTAGCATCAATTCCAGTAGCTAACATAAGCTAGGCAGGACGTCAAATTCTAGCTAACAGTAAATATTGGGTGTTTACAAGATATTTTACTTCTGATTAACTCATTAGCAAACTGTCGTGTTAGTCCTGCATATGACCAGCAAACCTACAGAATGATATTTAGAGGCAAAACCATGTAGTTGCTTTAAAATGAAAGTCATCTTCTAATAGTTTTAGATATGTAGTTATGTTTATCATGAAAACATGATATTAAATAAATGTAAAAATTTAAATCAAGTAAATAAAAAAAAAATTTACATTTTAATTTTTAATATTTGATTACATTTAAAAGTAGCAACTTTTTTTTTTACTTTGACTTGAGTACATTTTTGGCTAGATAACTCCACTTTTAATCGAGTAAGATTTTGACACATTATCTATACTTTCACTTGAGTATAAATTCTCAGTACTTTTCCAACTCCTAGCAAGTTCACTAGCAAGTTTTTTCCCCCACTCCAGTTCACCAGGTAAGCGCAGTCTCCAATGTTTTTATTGCTAAGCAACTTGATTAACTAGGCTACAAGTGGCAGCAAATATAATGCATGACAAGCTAGTTAGCTGAAATACATCAATACTAACTAAGGAAAACGAGGGACTACTTGAATTCCCAGAGAGGGGATGAATACGTGTAGCCACAGATTATGTTTCTGACGTAGCGCACTGTGTCTGAGCCCTGAACAAAAGTAACTAGTCAGTAGCTAACTTTTCAGAAATAATCTGTGGTTTCTCTTATTACATTCCAACTTAAAGACATTACTTGAATCTTACTGAATGAATATTCAGTTTTTGAATTATAAAAGTTCTGGATGACTTTTTGATGTCAAATATATATTTCTGGTTAAATTTCTAAAAATGATGTTTACATGCCCCTGAATATATGTGAGAAGTTTGAATGCTTAAAAGTATGAAAACTATAAAGCTGAAAAGATGTCCACTTTGATCTTATTGAGGATCCAAACCTTATCATTCCAATCCTGGACTGCGTGAGCCCTGCATGTGTGTCGTGTAGGCAGAGCGATTGAGAAATAGTGCATGCAGTAGAGCATGCTAGTTTCCGCCTCAGCGTGCTTCATGCCATATGAAGCCTG